AAGAATGAGTCAGTATCAATCAACAATGATGGTTAAATGAAAAATTATCGCATGCATTTGGCCACTGTTCCTGGCGATAAGGGAAAGAGCGTTAGCCAGAAAAAAGCTGTCGCGACTCATGTCAAATTAATTGACATAGTCGAAAAATTCTTGTGGTCACTCCACATCAAATATCAAATATTGGCTAAAAGCAGCTTTTCATGGACCGACAAGTGGGGTAACGAACCCTATGCTTGTCTGTTGATAACATGCACTCGTACAATGATTGTTGAATTGTGTGCGTTATTTGGCATAGCTTTTCGTCAGCATGGAATTGGTGTTTTCACCTGTTATACGGATGACGATGATGAAATGCATAATTTTTTTCAGGTTTCTCACTCAAATTTATTACCGATGAGTATGGACGAATCAAACAATATAGTGAAATTAATCCTTGGTCGCTTCCCTGAATTGTCCGCTCAACATGATGAAACCGGTAAACGCATAGAATTTCATGACTATGAAAATAAGGCGTCATCAATAACCGAGAAACAAATACTCGAGCAGATACATAAAGATTCCAAAGGATATAGTTCGTATCAAGTTCAAAAGTACTCTGCTAAGAGTTTCCTGGTAAATCAAGACGACTATGAAAAGACAATCAGCGAGGCTCAGCTAGAATCGTATAGATTAATGATTGAAATATGTCGATTGCATGACAAATCATATCTAAAATGCTCATTACTATAAACAACCAAGATTTCATTAGACAATTAAATAAAAGGAAACATTTTTTTTTATAAAAATGCAAAAGAAAAACAAACGCCTTTGAAAGAACATCTAAAACTAAAGATGATATTTTCTACAATGAAATTTTTTTTTATTGTTACTGTTTTTTTTGTTGTGTATTCTATATTTTAAACTCGAAACTTTAATAAAAGTATAAACAATTTCTTTTTTTCTTATTTATATTGCTTTATTAATACACCAAAGAAAGTAGTCAAAATAAAAAAAAAAGTTAGGATCACAAAAAATGGATAAAATTAATCGTTGCACCAGGCGACTAATGCAAGAATTCATATTGGTATTCCAAAACTTTTTATTAATCATATTTTGTTTTTCAATTTCATTGAATCTAAACTTTGTTTAAATGTAGTTTTTGTTCCATACATTTTTATTCATTACTTCAAGTGAATTTAGAATGTGTTTAACTGATGTTCCATGATTTTCGAGTGTATGTTTTCACGAGTCAACTAAACGTATTTTTAAATCAAGCTTTTCTTTTTTGTCGTTTACGATCATTTTATGTAGGAAGCTGTTTGTTTTATTTTTCATCAAAGTTCTTTAGAAGTTTCGATTTGATCTTCAAATAAAATGCAAAACGATGTCTTCCTAATGCGTGTGGGTGCGGGTGTGTGGCTGTGACTGTAACCTACACAAATACATATATACCCGCATGCGTACCTATATTCACTTTGCGAACTGTTTGAGCGGTAGCTGTCACAATTAAAGCTTTGCATTTAATTGATCGATGGCGTTGGTGTTACCTAGTGTAAAGATTTCTTTCATCTACACTAACACTCTTGTATTTCCTTTTTCCTAGTTAGTACAGAAGAACAGAAAGTTTAAGAATATGCATTTCTGCATTGCTGTTTTCTCAGACGATTTTTGACCTATTGCCGTCAATCGTGATTAAAATAAACAATATTTTCATATGCAATTTATTATTGAATTTACGAGATAACCAACCGAACTGTACGTCGTCCGAGTTTATATTCGGCCCACAGGCAAAAAAAAAACTTCGTTCGTAAGACTGGAAACCTTCTAAAAACAAATCGTGCTTATGGACTTTTGGAGCTGAGTTGTAGTTGTTTTACAGAATTTTTGATTCACTTTTAGGTATTTGCTGGAGAATTAAATAACGAAATTTTAACCTAAACTTTTGTTCATAAATAGATCTAATCACATTTAAAATATTTAAAAGTTTCAATTCAAAAGGATACTCCTTTGTTGAGGTATTAAATTTCCAAGTAAACTCACATTTTCAAACAAGCTTTTATCATTTAGCTTAGAATAGCAGATACTATAAATCGCTAAAATGCTAAATCATTGCCATCAATTAAATTAACAATAGATAAAGTTGAGGATATTCAACAGAGATACATGTGTTTGCGTTCTTTATTATTTTTTCTCATCATCGATATGGTAAGTGATAGAAAATGATGATATTATAAATATTTCATTATGCATTCACAAACATATATACAGTAAAACCTCTCTATTGTGAACACCATCGAAACCATTCAAAAATGCTCACTATACGAAGGTATTTTCTTTAAAGAGTTAAGATACAGTTTGCTTTAAAATGAAGAAAGAGTTCTAGAAAATTCGCTGCTGTATTAGTCATAGATAAAAGTCTGGCTATCTATTCTCTTTTTCATCTATTTTCATCTGAACAGTTTGAATTGAAAGAATTTTCAAACTTTTTATTCTCATTATTTTTATTATCATTTAAATATTCTGCTTTATGGTTTATACTATATGATACAGAGCTGAATGAGATATTAAGTTTTTCATCCAACTTATGGTGTGATAAACGATTGCTATCTTTATTATCATGAAATAATATTATTTTTTTCCTGCAAACCGAGTTCGTGTTATCATATTACTCTGTACTTTACACACACAACAGCCAAATCATACATAAAAATTTAATTACTGAGAGTGCATACGAAACAGGTGACAAGAAAGACCATGAGGTCAAAAAAATATGTTCATGTTAACTAGAGAGATATGTACAGTAGGAATCGTTCTAATGAATACGAAATCGTTCATAATTGGGAAGTATTCACTTAAGAGAGTCGCTCACTCGTAGAGAACATCACTAGAAAAGCTTCTCTATCGTTAATAACTGTCAAAAACATCAATAAGTGCATTAGCATTGATGAATTTATGAAAATTATTTATATGAAGGAGATAAATGTTAAAAAAATTTGTTGTTTATTTGTGTTGATATGAGAATCTCTTCATCGACATTCAACTCTAACATCTCTACAAATATGCGAACCCGAACATATCGCACTAGCTGCCAAAGATTTTTAATCTGATTCCTAGTTCAAATTATTTTTACATGGGCCCGGTCAATTTCTTACCTATGTCGGCTCATATTCTATCCACATATCTTTGCATGTTTCTTAGCAATAGATTAGATCTTCTGTTCTTTGTCCATGATTATTGACCAAAATGCGACCCGTGGTCGATGATAGAGGGTGTGGGTGTTGGTCTTCTCGTCATCCACACACATACCCTATCAAATAATGAATATGATCTGTCGTGATGAGTCTTGCAAGATAAAGAATAAACAGTTTTTCATATTGATAAAACAACAAAGCTTTCTTTTTCTTTCTACAAGACGATGAGTGATAAGCATTTGTAGAGAGTATGAATGTAGATAACGAGAAGATCAACGCCCACACCCTAATAATAATAATTATATCATCGAAGATATGTTCTGATTATTTTGTTTTTAGTTACTAGATAGAATGATTCACGGTTGGTATGATGGATTGCGGGGGTGTGGAGTGCAACATTTTATGATATAAAGCACAGAACAGAAAAAAACACAACGAATAGTTTCTTTCTTTTCTTCATCACATGCTTATATTTAGAGTCAATATGTTGCCTTCAACGATCATACGTGTTTGTGAAGGTTTTTTCTCTGAGAAAAAAAAGTAGTGAGCAAGTGAATTTAGAAGCTTTTTTATATGTATGTTCTCTTGCAAAGTTCTCTCCACGTGCGAATCGTACTATAATATATGATCTCTTATTCGCTTGTCGTATATATGCAAATTTTAAACAAGAATAGTGTGCAAAAATATTTTTCTTCATCACAAATAAGTTTCAAATGTCGTTTTATATTAGATTAGCTATTTTCAAAACTACGTAGTGTGAGAGTACATCTATGTGAATTCTTTTTCTTATTGTTTATTTGCGTGAGTGTGAATATCTAACATACCATATTTTATCTATTGTTTTCATATATATATATATATAACGACACATTTCTTTTTTTTCTTAGGTAAGAAATTTTACTTAAATACTCAAATAGCACCATATGCCAACTGTTCTGTATGATGGATCGTATGCAGCTATTATCTTTGACCGGTTATAACAATAATAGATATCATGGAACATCGACTTTTGGTGTAGATCGACCACTGCTACTCAAATTAAATTATACTGATCAAGTGGGATCCATCGAAACCCACGATTACGTTCAATTTCCCTCAAATACGACTATTCGTGAGATTAAAATAGCATTGCCGCTCTTCTTCCAAACTAGGTTCATTGATTCTGAACAAGTTATACTAACTGGAATTTGTTTTGACGGTGAACGATGTATGATACCCTCTCCGCACGACCACAAGACGTTGGGTGATCTAAAAATAGCAAGCAGATCGCAACTCAATTTTAAGGGATTGGCCACTTCATCACGCTCAAAATTATCACAGTTGACAGTTCGCTTAATTGACACTGAGAAAAAAGTAGTCTTCCAATGGGACGAGTCATCAATAACAATTGACGCTCTTCTGGATATGGTCATAAAAACTTTTGATTTGAATTCGATCGAACGTGAAAGAATTCAGCTCTGCACAATTACAAATGATGTGCTCAATCAACCCAGCAACTCAGGAAAGAAATTGGTAGAATTAGGTCTTCAGAATTATTCAAATGTCTACCTTCATATTATTAAACCAAAATCCACTTTCATTGATGGTCAAGAAATATATGTTTATGTCAAAAGCAACTCCGATGAAGGCGATCTATTATTGGTATCATCTACAGACACCATTGCTGACTTAGAACGTCTAATTAAAAACAAATACAAACGTATAATATCTATCCTCTTTCTTGATACCAAACAGGATACAATAGATACGAGTAATCGCAATCGAAAACTAAGAGAGTTGGGTATAAGGCCGAATGAAACCATATATGCGTATATTGAAGAAGGCCTTTCGATGAAAGAAACAAATGAACTGCAATCATCATCATCATCATCGTCTTTGGTTATGAATTCGAACAGAGTCTTCGTTCATTGTCTATTTCCAGACAAATCAGTAAAAATTATTAAAGCATCAGTAACAAATACAGTAGCGGAGCTAACAGCAAAAATTACAGCTCTTCAAGAAAATCAGACAATGGCTCATTTTTTATTATGGTCAGATAGTAGTACTATTGACGATAATGAACCTGATAAACGTTTGGCTGATTTCGGCATTCAACCTGGCAGTACAATTTATGCTTCTATCACACATATTACGCCTATTAATTACTCGATTAAAAACAATAAAACTGACAAGACTTATACTTCAACATATAGTTTTAACTTGGATGCAAAGCCTAAAGGTTTAGATAATCTTGGTAATACATGTTTTATGAACAGTGCACTTCAATGTCTTGTACATGTCCTACCATTAACTGAGTTTTTTATGAAAAGCTTTACTCAAACACATTCGACTGATGATTCTGTTAATAAACCCAATCCATTTTATACATATGGAGAAGTTACTGGAGCTTATGCCGAACTATTGTGGAATTTACTAAAGCCTGATCGAAGTTCTTATTTGTATTATGATTATTCATTGAGACCAAGCCGCATGAAAAAAACAATCGGTCGACTTGAACCACGTTTTGCCACATGGGATCAACAAGATGCTCAAGAATTCATGACACTCCTTCTCGATACTATTCATCAGGAAATTAAACAAAAACAGAATCACGTTCGAAATACCATTATCACAGAACTCTTTTTTAGTCAAATTCAATCGTCTATTACTTGTTCACGATGTCAACATGTAAGCACTACAGTACATCCAAGTAGTATTCTTTCATTACCACTTAATCTACCAGAACGCACATTTCAAGTGAATTTTTTCAAATTGAACGGTCGAGATGAGTACGATATACTGACTATGTCTACCAGTAATCGTATTGGACATCTTGTGTATGCATTTTTCGAACGCCGCCATGATTCAATAAGCTTTAGTTATGTTACTGCGATGACTACAAATCCAGAAGCAACACTTGATTTTGATACACCACTTAGCAAGCTATCTGAACCGGTAGTCACACTTATCGAGCAAAAGTCTTGCAATGGTCGACTTGAAACTTTTCGATATAAGAATAAGCCGACCACTCTGAAACTTGACGAATGTATTCAAGAATTTTTTTCACCCGAAAGTCTAGATGAACCATGGTTTTGCGAACAAGAGAAATGTAAACAGAATACAAAAGCAAGTAAACAACTTCAACTTTTGACTTTTCCACGTGTACTAATTATTCAACTCAAACGATTTTCACATGAAAATGGTCGACGTCGAAAATTAGACACATTCGTTAAATATCATATAGATGAATTTGATTTGGGTAAACTTGTGAAATCATCTGAGGAAGCCATTTATGATCTTATTGGCGTTTGTAATCATATTGGCTCTATTTCTAATGGCCATTATACTGCACATGCACGAAAAGATCCGAAAAGCGAAAAATGGTATAGATTCAATGATTCTTATGTATCACCTATTTATTATAAAGATGAAATCGTTTCGCGAGATGCTTATCTTCTTGTTTATATGAAACGACAGAAAGAAACGAAATCATCAATGGCTTGAAAAGCTTTGTATCATATCCTAATTTGAACAAACACACCATATAATCCATGTAAAATTCTCTTCTTTTCCAATCAATCACAACAATGAACAGAATAAAAACTATTGTTAATAGTGTTTATTTATAACATTTTTTAAAATAATAATATTCATAAATTATGTTTTAATTTTTTGTTACGATAAATAGAATTTACTGCACTAAAGTGAGATATCTCGAATCGATTTCATTTGTAATTTGTTAGAAAGAGCAGAATCTAAAAATCAAGGAAAAAGTACTGAATACTCATATTTCCGATGAGAGTAAAGAAGACTGAATTTTTTCCTGACTTACAATTTTTTACGTGTCATTCATTAGTGGATCGCTCATGAATATATAAATCATATTCGTCATGAAATAAATTAGTTATTTAGATCGATCAAGATAATAGGCTTATTCACTACAAATTGTTTCAAGAAACATTAGTTTAATTTATAATCAAAAATAAATCCTAATCAATCAGATCTTGTATTGTTAAGAATTGAATCCTGAAATTTCGTTATGTAGTAAAATTTTAACTTTTATCGAAAAAATCACCTAGTTTTGTAATCTTCCCAATGTACAGAATGATTATAAGCCATTCCATGTCGTCCATATATTGATTCAGACTAAACATGTGCTCATTTTTCTTTAATTCCTATTCATAGAAAGATTTTCTTATGTACTAAAATCTGTCAAAAACATTTTCTGGTTAGTGCGATACCTAAACTGTATGAATGCGATCGTCATAAACAAATAATGTTATGCAGAATTGTCAATAACAGTTTAATTCCAATTTCTAATATGTCGCTAAATTCTCCGCGTAATTTTGCGTCTTTTAATGTTCTTTTCAGAATGGAAGTGTGTGCATGTGGGTGTAGCTGATGCTTTTGGGGTGAAATTAGTACCAACAGTCACATCCCCAGCTGCAAACGAATTGATGGAAAATAAAGAAAAATTTAGCAGTGATCTGTCCAAGCTTGAATTTTTGTGAACTTTGTTTTTCTTGGTCAAAGAAAACTTTCTTTCGGCATTCATTGGTCCATAGTTGAGAGTATTAAATGAAAAAGAAAATTGTTAAGTAAATATCTTGTTTAGATTATGCATTGGATTCATCAACATAAAGCGATGATGCTTACCTTTCTCGTTAACTTGGTTTCTGTTTTTCTTTTGATGTGTAAACAGCTATGTAGAAATAACGTTATATTGGTTTCTTAATGATTTTAGTCAAAAAGTATTCAATACGTTCTATTTAAGGACTAGAATGTGGGTATTGGTTTTTGAGAGAGTGCTTGAGTGTCAAGATGGTTACTGGTCGTCGCTCAGCGAAACGCGCATACATACATAAACACATCGATGTGACAAATGATAATTAAATTCTACACAAAAGCGTGAAGTACCATTCCAACAAGATTAAAGTGTGAAACATGATAGAACTGCAGGAGCCCTAGACGAAAATTCTCGACATGCCTATCATCATATTGAACCCCTGTTGCAAAACACTTCAGACAAAATATTTATTCATTTTTCAGTTGCCTAGATGTCATTAGTGAGAATCAAAAGTAGTTAGCTAAAATCAGATTTTAGTGCTCTCTCCGAATATCTGATCAGAATATTTCTGAGTTAATATTGATTAGGGATGAACCAAACTTTTAAGAGTCGAAAACGATGTTTGCACAGAATTTTATTGAATGTATTTCTGTGTTTAGACCAATACCTATTCCACTCAAAACATGAAAAATATTGGCATTAGCCAGTTTTATAGAGTCAAGTTCGCTCTACAAACTATGCTATTTACTTTGGTTGTCTATCTCAAAGCAAAGACATGAAATCTGTTGTATTATCAATAGAAGAATCCGGAAAACTGACTTTTTGACAGAATTTTATTCTACATACAAATCAATTCTAAAAAAAAACGTCTATAGCCTTTCATTCATTCGAGCTGAAGCCTATTGTAATATATAGTTTTATAGAAAATTGAATGGTCTACAAATTGCCAATTTAGAATTGCTTAAAAATCCAATCTTTACAAACGATGAATAGAAGAAAAACATGTTATTCCTTCTTCTTCAAGATGTGCTTTTTCGCCTCTTTCCAGTATGAACTTACAGTTAACCAATCTTAAGCCAAAGAGATATATTCTGAACACACATTATAGAAGAGCAGATAAGACTGATTCTAACGAGCTAATTTTGGTTCATACTCAATACTTTTAGCGACTGAAAAATGGAAAAAAAAATCATTTTTGACTGTGTAAAACATTTGGCTCATCCATAGTCAATACCAACTCAGAGAAATATTCTGATCAGATGTTCAGAAAGATCACTAAAATTTGATATGAGCCAACTACTTTTGATCCCACTAATGACATGTAGGTAACTGGAAAATGAATAAATATTTTGTCTGAAGTGTTTTGTAACAGAGGTTAAATATGATTCAAATTTCTTTTTTCATATTTCTCAATACTCATCAACAATCGTCTTTCAATGAATGTCAATGGTTCATTAATGATTGCCTTCTGTTTTGAAGTAACCTTGCTTGTTTGTCTCGATATTCTTGGTTTTCCTCACATGTCGCTTTCCATTCATCAGCTGTGACATTCTGTTGACTATGTTTGCCCTTTTTGCAACCGCCTATCATACCTCCCATGAATAATGTCTAATGGCAACAAATAAATTTGAAACATTGTTTCCTACGTTCAATGTATTCCTTTTGTTGTGATGTGGGTGTGGGTATATATGAGAAAAAAATCCCATAGCCACATTCACACCCACACCCTGCATACTATATTTTTTTCGATTATTTCTCCATACTATTGCAGTTCGGTCCATTTTTATATCAGAAATACATGCTTGATTACTCAACTTATGCTAAAAGTTTTAGCTCTATTGGGTGAGAATTCGTGGAGAAAACTACCTATATGTCTCAGGCACTAATATGCTACTGAAACCAAGTCTTGGTATATCATTGATTTCTCAGTTCTTTTATATTTTATTTGAGACTTCAGTTGGTGATTAGGTATGTCTTAGACACGTCTTTACAAGAAAACATCTTTGATAACATTCATGATTGAGATAAATTACACCCACTTGGATGTACACACATAAAATCGTCATTGCAGTAAAAATACATATAGTCTCTTAAAAGATGAAAGAGTGCGTTCCATATCACGTATGACATTTATATGCCCGGTGCTTGTGTATATCAACGTTCAAAAAAAAAATTAGTGCACAAAAAATATTCCAATTGCTTTTATTCTTAACATTATGCGATTTGAGTGATATTATAGAAAAAAAAAGATGTTAAAATGAAATGAATAAACATTGAATTGTGTCGGACTTTTTTATCGAAATACACTGCAAATTAATGGTATAAAATTTATTGTACATAAATACAGAAAAAATTAAGAAATACTATTTTTTTTTTATTGTGCAAGTAAATATTGAATAAATTGTAAATTTTGTTCCAAAAAAATTCTAATAAAATACGTCTATGAAAAACTAATTTATTATCAATAATATTGGTTCTTCTTTATGTAGAAAATTTAAAAACTGTGACACCAAATTTATCTCAATCTGAATAATGAAATTACTCGAAATTATTTTTGACATACAAGAAAAGTTGGGTGTGGGTGTTAGCCTTCATTAATCAACACTCGCACTCACATCCGACATAAAATTGAAAATCAAGTGAAAAAATCCAATGAAATTTTAGATTTATTGGAAAATTTTCTAATAGAAAGTAATTCACAAACCACTGTTGAACTCTAAAGATTAATACCGATGAAAAACATTACAAAATCAACAATGCAATATTTTGAAATTTTATAATTTATTGCTGATTATTTCAGTACAAATAATGCCATATATTAGAGAGCTTAGTTTAAACGGTGTTGATTTGAAGTAATATTTGATCGAATAGCGTAAGAGTAAAAAGACATATAGAACAGTTTTTATCTGCGAAGATGGCAATAGAGCATGTTTAACTCTATTTTAAATAGTTGATTCTTTTATATCTATACATGCTACATTTTACTCACAATAATGATAAACTACTCAGAGAACATAATCAATTAGACAAAGGGTTACAAGATAAAGCACAATAAAAAAAAAGTTTTTGTTCTATTCATCAACTTCACCCAATTTATTATGAGCATTCCTTCTGATGTGATGGTGATATTGATCCAAGAAGTTATTCATATTATCTATATATTTCATCGTAACATAAAGGCTAATATAGTATTTTACTATCGAATGTATTTGTTTTCGTCGATCGTTTTCGTTATATTCAAAAAGATTGTTATCGTAAAGCTACGATTTTACGCTGTATAAATTCTCATCTTGAGTTCATTCATATGATTAGAAACTTTGAATAGAGATGTTCTACTTATCTAACGTTATTACAACAGTAGTCTCATATTTCTAGACGTTATGGGCTCATCTTTTATAAATATTCGAACTTTCATTCTTATGTATTTTTAAATTACATGAAGATATGCACATTGGGTGTGGGTGTAGATGTACAGATGTTAGTCTTCTCTTCATCCTTACAGCCACACCCACTGGCTTCTTATTTTCATGAAATGGATAGTTCAAATCTTATGAGCGCTTTAATAATGGATATTGTACTCATCTCGTACTAGCACTTGTTTTTAGATTCCATTAAACTCTCACGTAATTTCAACAGACTATCGTTTAGCTTTGTGAGATATACCATTTATCGGTTCAAGATTTGGTCATTTTTCTGTCAACTTAATCAAACTTTTCATCATTTCAATGACCATTAAACGTTCACATGTATTTTTTATGCAGCTTGTGAGTTTTCTTTTTTTATCTCCACCACTTATTACACGTTGAAAAAATATGGCTTCGATATATGAGACATTAATTATGTTTTATTTAAATGAAATCCAAAAAATTTTCAGCTTTTAGTTAGTATTTTGAATAAAATATTTTTATAGTAGAGATTTTGTTCTTTCTAATAAGAA